AGCGCAACTGACCCATTCTGCCATGTGACGGAAGAACGCCGCATGAACATTGTGTCTCATTCGAGGGATTTTGGCAACGCCTGAAAGTTCATACGTGGTTTTTCCTTATTATCACGGCAGAATTATACTCAAAACTCAATTTCAAAGATGTGGTTACGACTCTTGTCGGTTGCTACTTACTGACTCCAGAGTGTGTTCGGGCGAAAATTAAGGATCTCAACTAGACTATACATATCGAAATAAGGAACTCCTATTTTCGGCCTCGCTCATCCATTGAAGTGCCCAGTTTCATAGGAAAATTAATAGCAAATATGTTGTTGTGATTTCTCACTGCAGAATGTAGTTCCAATCTGAGTCGGCAACCCTGCAAAACCGAGAATACCCTCCAACGAGACGAGGATTTTCTTCTACGCCAAAACCATCCGATATTTTTACTCCGATGGGATATTAATGTCACTCTGGGTTGAGCGAAGACAACTTTAGGCGACTAAACTTAAGTTGCGGGCTGACAAAAGTTTACATTTCACAGCAGAGTGAAAATAGGGCTCATGCAATGAAATCCAGGAGTTGCCTTGAAAACAGTGTTTCTGCAGTAAATTTTAGCGAAAAACGCGTTTCCGAGCCGCCTTTTAAGCTCAAAACAGTTTTTTTGACCAACAGAAAGAGGCTTAGAGCTGAAAATATAAAAATAACGCTTTTCATTGTGGCCTGAGGTTTTTAATATCAGATTATTTGATGGCCTCTGCCTGATGATCTTTTGGAGGATAGGAGGCATTAGCAATTGAGCGTCACAGAGCGCGAAATGTGTTGTGAAAGCGGCTTCATGTATTTATTATGTATTATTTGATAACACATGGTTTCAACCACTTTAGATCGAACGCAACGGCAGTGGAATGATCCGAATCTCTACCAGATGATTCCATTTATTAAAGAAAAAATACAAAAATATTTACTTCCAACAGTAAAAGTACTGCAGCAAGGTCAAAATACAGAACCTCTAACTACAATTGGACGTATTTATGCTAAAAGGAAATATGTGCATGGGGTTTGTGTGAGACGTAGTTCCTTTTTGCAGAAATATGTCCATTTGCGACCTAAAAGTAGACGAAAAGTGCGGGCGAGACGATAAAAGGCGGCCGATTCTTCGTATGACGTTACGACATTTGTTGGCGCGATATTTTCCGTTTGAAACGGGGTTGGATTTTTTTTGGCAACTTTGCAAGTTTTTTTCTAAACTAAAATTTGATTCGACGAATAACGGGGAAACTCGCAGGTATTCTCGTGTTTCACACATTTTCCTAAATGAATTTGAAACAGTGTATTTTCCTCACCCACGGAAGTAAAATAATGTCTCAACCCCGAAGATTGGAGTTAAACTGAGAATAGAATCACATAATATGTGAAATACATTTCCCATGAGCAGCGAATCGACACCGTAGAGCATCCTCGATGTATATTCTCGAAACCCTGAAATCCTAAATTTCGAAAATACTTTTCGGAGAGATTCTCTTCGAATACAGTGAACCTGCTGCGGCCAGAAATGCGGCGGCTTTGAGTCGAGCAAAACGCCTTCAGATTTTCATCTAGGCAACACCACCTCGCTCCCGAGTTCGAATAGTTGTATCGCAGAGCATGGCAACACACGCAAGTGAACAACACAATCTTTTCTTTTGAAATATTTGGACACGGGCCGAGCCCTGGAACTCCTATTCAGCGCAGTGGCGTTACGTGAATTGCGATAAATCGATTGTTATGCAATTTAAACCTATGGAAAAGGATCGATAAACAGGGTGTTCGCAGCGAACACCTTAATAATCGATTCTTTACCGTAGGTTTAAATTACATAACAATCGATATATCGCAATTCACGCCACGGCACTAATTCAGCGACTTGTTCTCATTTATACTACAGAGGAAACAACAGTCTCGCTATCATTGTGTGTAACGATTTTAACCTTAGTTTATCCATGTTCTTAGTTTTTATTCCGTCGTGTTCATTATGTAGGACTATGCAATTTGTGCACACTTTCAAGTCTCTAAAGTAGAAGACAAAAAAAGACAAAAAAAGAAAGGAAGTAAGACCCAAATTCAGCAGCACTGCAATGATCAATTGCGAAACACGATCTTTGCATCCTCTGCTATATTGATCGTGTGGTTTTTAAACTGTCCGAACGTAAAACGTCGATTTTTTACACGAGTATTTACACGCTAATGATGACACTGACCGAAAAGTTCTCGGTATAATGATAAAATAGAAAAGAACAATATCGCAACTAGCCTCGCGCAGCGAGCACAGAAAGATTTTCTAGTTGCTTTTAAAACGGAATCAACGCTGAGAGTGTTAAAATGTATCTCAAAATTGATGAGCCTCCTTAGCGCTCGACAAAAATTAGAATGAAATTAAAAGTTACACAGTTAAAAGGAAAAACTCTGCGTTCGAAGAATCATCGTCTAGAAGTCGCTGACCCGGCAATGATTGCTCGATGCGTGAAATAAAAGACCGGAATCGTTAAAAAAGTTTTCAGACAGTTGATACCTCGAGTTGCCAAGTTGAAAGCAGAAGCTTCCACGCTCCTCACTAAGTGAGGAGGGTGGAGTCAAGCTTCTAGCTCACCACCGGCGCCACTCCCCGAAGAAAATAGCGCAGCCCTCATGGAGAAGTTTCCATTGGGAGAGCTTCACAGCATGAACCATGAGGCGAAGTAAGCATTTTGCAAAGATCCTAAGTCGTAACGAAAGAACCTGAACAGACTATCACCGAGCTGTAGAAAACCGCCGTACGGAAGGTTTGACGTTGCCAATTTCTTTTGATAAAATTTGATTTTTCTAGAATGTTCGTAATAATTTGGCGCACAATTTTCAAATAATTCCTTCGCAATTTCTTCTAATACCTTTGAATATTTCCAAGAACAAAATTCCCACGCTGAAAAAAAAAAAAAAAAAGCCCCGGCCGTAGATTCTACGGCGTAGAAGCCGTGCGGGCTATATTATAGACATACCGTCAGCGTTCCGGGCTCAGAGGCTGAAAGTTCCGGGTGCAGCACCCGAAGCAGTCAAGACTACGGCTTCAGCACCCGGAACTTTCGGACTCTGAGCCTGGAGCAGATAGTGCAGTGGCCGCTCGCTAATTCGAAACCCGTTAATTCGAAAATTTCGTTAATTCGAAGGCGAAGTCGATCCCCGTGAGAAAATCCCTTTATTAAAAAAAAAATCAATATATTTGTCTCCCCTCGCTAATTCGAATTTTTCAGTGGTTAAGCGGCTCGGCAAACTGTTCTATAATTCAAAGGAGCCGGACCGAAACGCTCTGTAATTCGAAATCTGTCGCGGCGGTGTTGTTTTGATCTAAAAGCTTGCCCGGCATGGGATATTAGACTAACGAATGACTTTGTTGACATCTCTGAAGATGAGCTGATTATCCAGTATGTATTGCATTGTGTGCCAGTGAAAGTGGGTGCGTTTCACCATGGGCAAATACGGCAAGCTAAATTTTGAACCAAAAAAAAAAAAAATCATAGACGCAGTGAAAGACGGCGAAAAAAAGGGGGACGTCGCCAAAAGATCTAATATTCCGGCGTCCACTCTGTCAACGATTTTAAAACACAAGCATGAAATAAAGTTGAAATGTGATAGTGGCGTGACGAAACAGTACCAGGCCCGAAATTGTGAATTTCCAAAGCTCGAGGACAGCTTGCTAAAGTGGTTTAAGCAATGTCGCTCAAAAAACATCCCCCTTGGAGGTTTTTTATTTTGAGAAAAAGCACTCGCGTATGCAGCCGAGTTAGGCATCGTCAATTTTCGAGCTAGTGACGGTTGGCTCTCACGATTTAAAGACAGTTATGGAATTTCTTTTAAAGAAGTGTGTGGTGAAAGTGCATCCGTGAGTGGAGAAACATGTATTGAATGGACCGCGAGTATACCCGACCGGATCAAAGACTATGATCCGTCGGATATTTTTAATTTAGACGAACTCGGATTATTTTATAAGTGCCTCCCCGATTATATACATTAACTTTCAAAGATGAAAAATGTAGTGGCGGTAAGCATAGCAAAGATAGAGTAACTCTTTTACTGATGGCCAACATGGATGGGTCTGGAAAATGGAAGCCCTTCATGATAGGCAAATCTCAAAAACCCAGATGTCTGAAAAATGTAAAGTCAATCCCAGTGCGCTACCACGCCAACACTAAGGCGTGGATGACTTCTGAATGGATCACTAAACCTTGTTTATTTTATTGAATATTCTGAAAGTACAATGTGAGTAGATAACGTGGTGATTTTTCCGCATTTTTATGGAGCCGAAATCGCGGATAAACCCGCTTTGGAAAAATCTAAAAACTACAAGACATTTCAAACGCACCCGAATGGCGGGCAACTGACGGTGTTGACGCACTGCGATAGTCATATCGCAATCATCTCTCATTTTCCTCTGATGTTTGTTAAAATAAAACGTGTTTCAATGTGGAATTGTTGCTCGTTTATTGCAGCTAACATATGAATGAGATTCAAGTCGTGAATTCAAAAGATATAATTTCGACTTTAGTATTTTTTTCATATACGAAGAGTAGATAGACATTTGACGGAAGTCGTGGAAACCCGTGCCCGCTTCTGATTGGTGCCGGATGACATCATTCGGCGCGGCGCGAAACCGGGGCGTTTTAAATTTGCGTATAAATTGAGCGATTTGAACTGCGCATTTCTCGGTTATTGAGTTACTTGTCCACGTTTTTAGTGTGCGCATCGTGTTCTATGCGTCATTTTCCTTCAGAAAACTATATTCGCGAGTCAAAATTCGTTCATGGTTTAGTGACTCATTGTTTGAAGCTTGGCTTTAGAGGTAGATTCTGAAATGATTGAACAAGATCGTACAATTTTAGTGTGTCTATTTAGACCGTAACTTTGTTTTAATGAAACTTCACTCGAAAATCAATGTTTTGCCGTAAAAAAATTGACAGCATAGGTTGCTGATGGAAATTTGTCTCTTAGCCACAAAAAAGCGGATTGTAGAGCTTGCTCAGGACTCCAGGACTTGGGCTGTTCGAAGGAACAAGAGCCTGAAATATATGGAACATTGGCAAGAAGCGATGAATCGCTTCGAGCTGGCTGACACGGACAACTCAGCCGCAGAATCACACGCCCATAAAAGTGAGGTTACAGCGGAAAGAGAAATACGCAAAGAGAGGACCCGATCGCGAAGCAGTTTCGTTTAGTGACGCGTTGACGATAGTTCATCACTAACTGCGGACATGCGGGAATTCGGAGTCATCGTTGCTCTATTTCTAATTTGCGCAGCCGTTGTCGCCGTATCAGATGAAGATCAAAACGTAAGCTTCACCGTACCTATTAGACCAATAGATTGAATGAAATATAAGTAGATTGAGTGCAACATAGAAGTTTTAAGTCTGTAAAAAGTAGAGCACCTACATTGAGAGAAACACAAAAGGGACCATCCCGAAATTGAACGTATTTCTGCCAAACAGAACTATGTGCATTAAGACATGAGCCCTAAGACCTATAAGAATATGTGCATAACAGGGCTCACGCCATGATGCACATACTTCCGTTTGGCAGGAATAAGTCCAATTATGCCAGCCCATGCCAGTGCTGCTTGCCAGCCAATGCCAGTCCATTCCTGCCAGTTTTTTCCTTGTATGAATTTGTTCATTTTTTGTCGCAAGACACGCATATACAATAGTTACTGATCCTTTTCCCCCTATTTTGATGGTGATTTGGCATTAGACGGAGCAATCCACCGGCTCATTCTAGACTTCCATCAAGACTTCCATTACGTAAA